AAGTAATTGGTTATAAGTTGTTATAACATTTTTTAATTATAATTTTTTAGACGATATTGAGTACAAGTCGATGATTTTTTAATGTTGGCTTTTCGGGAAACATTTTCTTGAGAAATAGGAAAACTAAATCTGAATGGCTTGTATTGTCCCATAAACAAGTCAATTTAATTTTAAAATAAATTATTATATGATTTAAATTTTATTGAATTATACAATAAATTCAAGTTTAATTTATCAGTAATTATATCAATAATTTAAATAATTTAATAGTTTTCTCTTTTTAATGAAAGTAAAAAGTCTTGAATTTAAGTCGCATAATATGCGGACAGAGTAATATAAAAAATAAAAGATAATTACTTTTTATTGTATAATCGAAATAAAAATAATTTTTTTTTCATGTAATTATAGGATGAAATTATTTTTTATTCACTTTTATCTTCTAAAAATTAAAAAAAAATTATTTTAAAATTACATAATTTTAATAAAATATTTTATAAAAAATAAAAAATATTTTAATTTAAATAAAATATTTTAATTTTTTTAATAAAAATTTATTAAAATAATATAATTTTAAAATAATTTCTCTTATAACATTTAAGAGATAAAACGGATGAATAATATTCTCATATTATCTTTGGAAGTAATAATTAACTGTTAGGGTAGAAATGACATTTGATGATGTTTACGACCTGACAGTCTCTCGTAGTTACAGCAACATACCATCTGACAGCTCAATGCCGGCGACCGAAAATATCAAGACGCCCATATAACTGCCACGTGTGTTGTGATTCGGTCAGATGATATGGATAAGGCCCTGGTTTTCTTCTCTTCCTACTAAATTTGGCCTTGACCTAACCAACATTACTCCACCAGAGTGCCGCTTTTTCTTTTAATGTGAAAAATAGATCGATGAAAAAAAAAAAGAAAGAAAATTCAAAACCAAATTTATCACAGGGAATTAGTTCTTTTTCCTTTTTTTTTTCTGAACTACAGTTTTATAGTTATAATGTTTTTTTTTTCTTTTGAACAAAAGTAGTTAAAAGGAAGAGCACCTGGTACTTCGGCTCAACTAACAGTTTATCAATTTGAAGTGCATTATTCTTCTTTCACGAACGGATTTCAAATCCATCCATTGACAACTTAAAAAAAAAATAAAAGCGGTTAGGAGGAGGGAGTCACTTAGTTCACAGGATTTAAATATACAACTCGCATAAAAGTAATTCTCATTTGATCAAAATTTCAATCATTAAGTTTTTTTTT